GTGCAGCGACAAGTGGCACGCTTACCACTCGCGCGATGCTGGGTTCAAGTCCCGGCTCGACTCTCGCTGTTGTGAACGTAGTGACCGGATTTGGTTGGAAGTTTATCCTCGGAGAAAAGTGACAACCTCACCACACACTGCTTAAATATCATAATACAAACAATGATACATCATAACAAAAACAATGGTGGTCTATCACAGCGATATCACTATGGTGTCTTCATTCTCCAACACCTCCCCCATAAGATGAACGCTCGGCGTAAGTCTTGCTCTTAGGGTTGACCACCAATCGTGCAGGTGCTCGATGTGTTCTGGAACTGGCTCGGCGTTGTGTGGCTTCTTTGATCCTTGGTGTGGGTGACGCCATAGCTGTAGCCTTGTTTGACGGTGTGCATTCTGGTGGACTGGTTGTCGCTGACTGTTTTGTCCTCGTTTCTCCTTGTGTGTCTGATGGCTTTGCACATGGTAACAATGGTACTTCGGCGAACTCTTCTAGTGGTCTGCTCGTGGTAGAAGGTGTATCGCTGCCCGGACGTATTTGGTTTGTATGTCTTGTCCAAATCTGTCCATCGACCAGAATGTCGTAAAGCCTGTTTCCATGTCTTTCTTGTATCCTACCGGCTATCTGTCGAGGTGTTCCTGCTCGATAGTCCGTTGTCCAGACGCAACGTTGAATTCCCTTATTCGTGCTCCGTGATGCCGATTATATTGGTCCTCCATCTTCTGATTCCGCGTTTTGACGCTTGGGGTCTCAGTAGGTTTCAGGAGGCTTAGACTTGTCCTGATTCTTCTTTTCAAGAAAGCTTCAGCAGGAGACAGTCCTCCAGGCGTGGAAGAGCAAGGTGTTCGGCGGTAGCAGAGCAGGAACTTCTGAAGTGCCTCAGTCGACGGTAGGTTCTTCTTCATCTTCTTGAAGTTTCTTTTGAACGTGTCGACGAAGCGTTCTGCTTGTCCGTTGGACTGTGGATGGAAGGGTGGTGACTTCAGGTGTGTGATGCCGTTTTTGTTGCAGAAGTTGCTGAAATCCTTGGACGTGAATTGCGGTCCATTGTCCGTCACTAGTGTTTCTGGATTCCCAAACTGAGCGAAAAAGACGGCGTAGTTCTCTTATCGTGCAGCTTGTAGTGGTAGATGACATCTCGATAACTTCTGGCCATTTCGAGTAAGCGTCAACGACGATGAGGTAAGTTGTACCATCGATCGGTCCTGCGAAATCGGCATGTATGCGACTCCATGGCTTATCCTCTATTGGCCACGAGCATAATGTTGCTTTCACTGGATTCTTCGCAGCTTCCTGGCAACTTTGACATGCTTTCACGAAGTTTTCGATATCGTTGTTGATGTTCATCCAGTAGACGTGGTTTCTGGCGAGCATCTTCATCCGAGTCATCCCTGGGTGTCCGGCGTGAAGTTCGCACAGCACAACTTCACGTAGGCTATCAGGAATTATAACGCGATCCCCGATAAGTAGACATCCATTGTGTGTTGAGAGCGATTCTTTGAGGCTGTGAAATCTTTTCGTGATATCTGATTTCCTTGGCCATTCTCCGCTCCGCACGAAATGAAGAACATGTTTCAGAATAGGATCCTTAGAGGTTTCTTCTGCTATTGTGTGGGCATCCACTGGTAATTTCGACATGGCATTGACGAATACGGTGGACGAATCCTTCTCTATCGCTGCAATGACCGCATCTTCTTGAGGCGTCGATTGTTCTGCGATGAGGCGGGATAGAACGTCTGCGTGTCCAAAACTAGTGGTACATCTGTATTCTATGTTGAAGTCGTAGTTCTTCACTATGAGAGCCCAACGTTGTAGCCGGTTGGCCGTGTAGACAGGTACTCCTTTCTTGGTTCCGAATATGGCTAGGAGTGGTTTGTGATCTGTTAACAGCTTAAATTGACGTCCGTAAATGTAGCGGTGGAACTTCCGCAAGGCGAACGTTATCGCGAGAGCCTCTTTCTCGACTTGACCGTAATTCTTCTCGGCAGCTGTCAAGGAACGGCAGGCATGGTGAATAGCTTTTTCCGTTCCATCCGGAAGGCGGTGACTGATTACTGCTCCTATCCCGTACTCCGATGCGTCGGCCGCGACAACGATCTCTTTTGTTGGATCGTAGTGGGTGAGCAGAAGGTCCGAGGCAGCACATCCTTGGCGCGTTGGA